GGCCTTTCCTGGGTCTTTTTTCTCCATTTCTGGATTTCTTTTCATGCGAGCAAGTCTGAGGTTACTATATGATGTCTCTCACAGGCCACAGTTCATTATAAATATTACCAATGGATATTCATTTATTAACCAGAGAGAGGTGGGTGGGGTTGGGTTTTTGTTTTTTAAACAAAAGCGGATCTTATGGGCATTCTGGAAAGCTCTGGCAGGAAGCTAAGAATAAAATTTTGAATTGAGAAGTCCCTTTCTTCAAATCACATTCAGACCCAATTCTGCTATTCTATTTATTTTTCAAGGGGATTAGCCTTATTTTAACACCAATAATCTTATCACGAAAACCTCCCAGAGGAAGACCCTGTAGACTTTGTAATGACCTTAATCAAGTATTAGCCCTACACTTCAATTAATCCCCAACTGTACAAAACGTATGTTCTTTTCTCTAAAGCAGGAGCAAGTTGAAAGGGGATTAAAAATGGTGGGAGGGGAAGAGTGTTTGGAATTTCAGGCACACCAGACAGGCACAGCAGGCCAGGAAGAGCGTCCCGGGAAAACATTTTTTCCAGACTTAAGTTTATGTTCCCTATCTCTCTCACAGACTTTTGCACGAAAATAAGTCATTCAATAAACATTTGAATCGAGATAGGGAAGGTGACGAAGAAGAAGTTTGCACTTATGAGGTTTTAATTTGCAATTATTTGGTTATCTTTTTGCCTTCTCAAACATAGGATCTTTAGGAGTGAAACTTCATAGCCAAACTTATACTTTGTCCAGCACAGAAAAGACCATCAAAATGCCTGGTGTAAATAAAATATTGAAATGATTGGGAGGTTTAGTCCCTTGACCTATAAATCTGACCTCCTTTAAACATTATTTGTACTTTTCCCAATAAACTATTGCGTAATTTATTAGTTATTAAGTGGAAATAGAAATTTGGAATGGGGCTGTGCTTAGCGTCATTAAGCTGACAGGAATACAGTGCATTCAGCTTGTAGAGACCCTTCCAGTCCCACGAAGAGCGAAGTCTCACTGGCCAATCAAAACAATGAACTCTTAATGAAAGTTTTCTTGCTCCACCCACTTGGTGACCTAATTTGAAAAATAAAAAATCCGCGCCAACTCATGTTGTTTTCAATCAGGTCCGCCAAGTTTGTATATAAGGGACTGTGTGCGTTCATAACTTCCAATGCTGTGAGAATCATGTCTGGTCGTGGCAAAGGCGGAAAAGGATTGGGGAAGGGTGGTGCTAAGCGCCATCGTAAGGTGCTCCGGGATAACATCCAGGGCATCACAAAGCCGGCTATTCGCCGTTTGGCTCGGCGCGGTGGCGTCAAGCGCATTTCCGGTCTCATCTATGAGGAAACTCGAGGTGTGCTGAAGGTTTTCTTAGAGAACGTTATTCGAGACGCTGTTACCTATACGGAGCACGCCAAGCGCAAAACTGTCACAGCCATGGATGTAGTATACGCTCTAAAACGTCAGGGGCGCACTCTGTATGGCTTCGGCGGCTGAATCTAAGAATACGCGGTCTCCTGGAACTTCAAAAAAAACAAAAAAGGCCCTTTTCAGGGCCGCTCACAAAGTCGTCTAAAGAGCTGAAATGCGTTGCGAGAATGTGAGTCTGGATGGCAGAATTAACTGATAACTTGAATAAGAATGATCTGTGTTTACAATGACCGGGCACATTCTGACAAAATTTTGAAGCAGAAAGTAGGCATAGAGAGGTAAGCGCTAGTAAAGTGTCTCCAGAAAAGAAGCATTTGCTGGGCACAGTGGGTCACAATTGTAATCCAAGCACTTTGGTAGGCCAAGGCGGGCGAATCACGTGGTCGGGCGTTCAAGACCAGCCTGGCCAAGACGGCCAAACCCCAGTCTACTAAAAATACAAAAGTTAGCCGGGTGTGGTGGCAGGCGCCTGTAATCCCAGCTACTTGGGAGGCTGAGCCAGAGAACTGCTTGAACCCGGGAGACGGAAGTTGCAGTGAGCCGAGATTGTGCCACTGCACTCCATGCACTCCAGCCTGGGTGACAGCTGGGTGACAGATTGAGTCTCCATCAAAAAAAAAAAAAAAAAAGTGGTCTAATAATCCTCAGAACTGGAGGAAGAACCATAACTGGTTGATTTTGTTTTTAACCTTATGTATGCCAGGCATGCTAGCCTTGTATACACACAAGGCTAAAGGAGCAAAGGTGCAGGAAGCCATCTTGAGGGATTCGCATATTCTTGAGAGACTGGCCAGCTGCTGAGAGAAGTCAGTTTTTCATCCTCACTGTATATGATGAAAATCTGGTGACAGTCGATTGCTGGGCACAGAATTTAGACAAAAGGGCTCTCTGCTATGTCAGGCAAGTGAGGCATATTTTTGCACAATCCTTGTAATTCCAAACTCATTGGGAAACAATACAATTACATCCAAACAGGAAAGGTCTGTGGTTGATTTTATCTATACAAGTTTAAAACATAATGTTTAGTTGTTTCTCATTATAGGACACAACTTAATTTTTAAAAAGATTCCAAACTATACAAATAAGTTCAGAAAAGTGAGGAACTATTGAACCGTCTGGAAAACATACATGTCTGTGAAATAATGCAATGCATAGTTTTGCAGGGGACTTTGTTCAAAGTTTCTCGAAATACCATGGTCCAAGATAGACTAACATTGACTGAACATTTTTGATGGTCGGTAAGAATACTAAATCACAAATCAAGGGAAAATTAAACTATGTTTGTTTAAAGAGAAATGTACTTTAGCTCAGACCCCGAGACTTAAAACAATTTTGTGATTCAGGAAGGTTGAATTCAGACCCTAACTGGGCAGCCTCCAACATTTTCATTAAGGTTTGGATTCTTAAAATTTTTCAGTCTTCAGAATGCTCTGGCAGTCTGATGAAACCTACACTTTTTTTTTTTTTTTTTTTTTTTTTTTGAGACGGAGTCTCGCCCTGTCACCCAGGCTGGTGTGTGCAGTGGCGCGATCTCAGCTCACTGCAAGCTCCACCTCCCAGGTTCACACCATTCTCCTGCCTCTGCCTCCTGAGTTAGCTGGGACTACATGCACCCGCCACCACGCCCGGCTAATTTTTTTGTATTTTTAGTAGAGATGGGGTTTCACCGTGTTAGCCAGGATGGTCTCGATCTCCTGACCTCGTCATCCGCCTGCCTCGGCCTCCCAAACCGCTGGGGTTACAAGCATAAGCCACCACGTCCGACCCAGATTATTTTCATAAATAAAATACTTAAAGTAATTCATAAGGTTACAACTGTATTAGATCAATAATATTAAAATAATTATCAAACCACTTGACTGTGTTTTTGTTGATATATCAAATATAAATAAGCAAGCATGATTTTCAAGATTCTTGCAACAACTATAACCTACAAATTTGTTATTTCTATCAGTCACACTCAATGGAAGAAAATTCTAAATTTCAGCTAGTTAATGAATAGATGGGAAAAAAAAAAAAAAAAAAAAAACCTCCCCTAATCCATATTCTGGGACACCTTGATTCCTATTTATTCATCCCTTGAAGTCGGTGGACAGCATATTAAGAAACAATAGTTATAATGACACCACAGAAAGACTAGAATGTAGTACTTGTGTTTAAAAATAAAAGTATCAGCAAATTGTTTGGATGCTGAATTGCTCTCCACTCCCTTCTTTGACACTGGCATTTCCAGAACTTAGATGCTCTTATATGTAAAAGCCTACTCTAGTGCACCATTGAGTTTTTCAGGATTGGACATCAGATTTTGTAGTTCTTGGACCTCTAGGTATACACCACGTCTTTGACAAGAAGCCCTTTTTCTTTTTTAACTTTTTTTTTTTTTTTTAAGTTTTGAGACAAGGTCTTACTGTCATCCAGGCTGGAGTGAAGTAGTACGATGATAGCTCACTGTATCCTTAAAATCCTGGGCACAGGGACTAAGGGAGCGTGCCAACCATGCTTGACTAATTTACTTTTTTGTAAAACCAGTAGTCTCCAACCTTTCTGACACCAGAGACTGGTTTTGTCTAAGACAAATATACTGCGGACGAGGGGATGCAGGGGCTGGGGGCGATGGTTTCCAGACTAAAACTGCTCCAACCTCAGATCATCAGGCATTAGATTGTCACAAGAAGCCTGAAAGCTAGTTCCCTTGCATGCGCCATTCACAATACGGTTTGAGCTTATGAGAATCTAATGCTGCAGCTAACCTAACAGGCGGTGCAGCTCAGGTGGTTAATGTTCACTCACCTCTCAGCTGTGCGGCCCAATTCATAACGTGCCACCGACAAGAACCGGTACCGGTCGGTGGCCAGGGTAAATGGGGACCACTGGTATAGATGGTAGTCCGGCTATATTGCGCAGGATGGTCTTGAATCCTGGACTGAATTCTCCCACCTCAAGACTTTTCAACTCAGCTGCATCACAACTTAAACCTATAGTTAACTGTCATAGAAATTAAGTTTCCAGTGTTACGCCATTTTAAAATAATGTGGGTGGCTCTTAAAAGAGCCTTTGGGTTCTTTCGAGATCGGCCTCCTGGAAATCTCTTTACTTCCTAGATGTGGCCTTTCTAATATTAGCTTTATGCTGTTGAGTCAATTTTGGCTTCGTGGCCCTTGCCTTCACTGGGCTCTTCTGCTGTTGCTTACCCTTGGCTCCTTTAGCCTTTCTCCCTCTCCTAACAGCTTTTTTAGGAGCTGTCGCCCTCGGTTTCTTGGCTCTCTTATCGGTTTTAGCAGTCTTTGGTGACTTGGAGTCCCTGGATAAAACCAGCTTCTTGGTCTTGGCAGAAGCTGACTTGTTAGCCTTCCTCCTGGTAGATTTAGGAAGGACTTTCTTACTAAGCTTAAAGGAACCGGAGGCACCAGTACCCCTGGTTTGCACCAGGATTCCCTTGTTCACTAAGCTCTTGAGGGACAGTTTAATGCGGCTGTTATTCTTCTCCACGTCGTAGCCAGCAGCGGCCAGTGCCTTCTTGAGCGCAGCCAGAGACATACCTACTCGTTCCTGTGACACTGAAAGGGCCTCGGTGATCAACTTGGACACAGAGAGGTTCGGTGTTTTGCGACTTGCACTTGTCAAGCCAGCCGGCTTCTTCCCTCTCTTCTTGGTTAGAGGTTTCTCCATGACGGCTGAAACAGCACCGGCAGAAGCTGCAGGCACGGTTTCAGACATAACAGCAGAGAAACGCAAAATGTAACAACCAGCGAAAAGCATAAAACGCCGCGGGGCCGCGGGGCCTTATATAGGGTAGGGCGCGCTGTGATTGGTGCATCACCTAGGCACCGCCCCCGCCCCTTGGAGGAGGAGTATTTGTGTTTGTTTTACCCGGAAAAGTTGACTATAACAAACCCCCTCTGTACAGAATCTCCCAGGGTCTAGTGCTGAATGACCTGGGGAGATTCATATTTCACATGACTTTTCGCTTTTTAATGAAAAATGACCCTGGATGCCAAAACTATTCGAGAAAGCCCTAGATTTTCAGTCAAATCAAGGAGAGGAACAAAACTTCCCCTTTCCCTTGTAAATTAATAAGTAATTTTTGGCGGAAGACTTATTTCATCTCTTTAGAGTGGTCTTCCAAATGAATAGCTTCAAGTCGGTAGAGGACATAAATTATTCACGCCATGATTTTTATTTAAAATTATTTATATATGTGATGGAAGTAACACAGATCTCTTAGTTGTCTAATTGCAGAGTCACAAAATGCTTATAGAATTTTCAAAAGACTGCAGAGTATGTCTTTATTTAGGCATGTGCAATCTAATAAACCATAATCCACAGGAACATGGGTTGTCTGTGATTAAAGGTGCTCCCAAGTCCCTGTAGCTTTATAGAGAACTCTCAAGGATGGGGTAATATGAAGATCTCACACATTACGTAAGATTGGCCATAATCAGGCCACTCTCATGACCGGTGTCCTCAACTGAGTTTTGCTTATGGTTTCATTAATTGAAGTGCCCTCTATCCCCCTGCCCACCCCTACCTCCCCAGATAAACCAACACAGCCCCTCCCCTAAATTAACTATAAAACATGAGGTAGGAACCCTAGACTCAAGAACCTACTGGAAACTACAGACCCCATGTCTAACAAGACTGGGCAGGTTGGCTGGGTGCAGTGGTTCATGCCTATAATCCCAGCACTTCCAGAGGCTGGAGGCCAGGAGTTCAAGACTAAGTTGGCCTGGTCCCTACCAGAAAAAAAAAAAAAAAAAATTAGCTGGGTGTGGTGGCACATGCCTGCAGTCCCAGCTTCTGGGTAGACTGAAGAGGATCACTTAGAGCCCAGGAGTTTGAAGTTGCAGCTACTGTAGTCCAGCCTGGGCAGACCTCCATCTCTGCATTGCTTAGTTAATTAATTAATTAACTGAGCTGGCAGATTTGGCTGCATAGCTGTGGGGAAAGGGTTGTTGGAATAATGTCCACTATGCTCCCCTGAGCTTCTACTGGAACAGGTCTTTGTGAGAGGCCTGGAGATAAGAGATTGCTCACAAAGGCCAAGGCCTTTCTGGGATGCTGAGTGAGTTTACTGTGGTCACAGCCTAGGGTCTCAGCAAAGGAAAACTCCATAAGGGCCGTTTTGTGAAGATCCCCAAATACTTGTGTGAGACATTTGGTAGACACTGGAAGTTTGTTTTGTTTTGTTTTGTTTTGAGACAGAGTTTTGCTCTTGTTGCCCAGGCTGGAGTGCAGTGGTGTGATCTCGGCTCAGTTCAACCTCCACCTCCCAAGTTCAGGCAATTCTCCTGCCTCAGCCTCCCAATTAGCTGGGATTATAGGCGCCCACCACCACGTCTGGCTAATTTTTTGTATTTTTAGTAGAGATGGGGTTTCATCATGTTGGCCAGGCTAGTCTCGAACTCCCCACCTCAGGTGATCTGCCCGCCTCTGCCTCTAAAGTGGTGGGATTACAGGCCTGAGCCACCACACCCGGCCGACATTGGAAGTTTTTAAGCACATAATTTGTTGTATCGTTGTAGTTGTCTTGGGTTTAGATTTATTACATAAACAATCATTATTGAGAAGGGCCCACAGTCAGAGGTTGGGAGTCTGTTGCAATAGTCTCAGAAACATGGCAAAGACCTTGCCTAAGGGGACAGTGTGGTAAAGGAGAGAGTCTACATTTGAAATATTTCTGAAACAAAAGCCAAAAGATAAGACTTCAAACTTCTGATTGCAAAGTGAGGTAGAAAAGTTTCTTTCTTTCTCTCTCTCTGTTATACCCATACAAACACACATATGCATAAACACCTGAAAAAAAAAAAAAATTCAGGAAACAGGCCAGGTAAGGTGACTCACACCTATAATCCCATAAATTTGGGAGGCTGAGGCTAGTGAATCACTAGAGCCCAGGAGTTCAAGGCCAGCCTAAGCAACATAGCAAGACCCTACCTCTACAATTAAAAAATTACCCGGGTGTGGTGGCATGTACCTGTGATCCCAGTTACTCAAAAGGCTGAGGTGGGAGAACCACTTGGGCCCAGAAGGTCAAGGCTGCAGTGAGCATGATCGTGCCACTGCACTTTAGCCAGGGCAACAAAGTGAGACCCTGTCTCAAAAAAAAAAAAATTTTTTTTTGGAAAACACCAGCACTTTAGTATATTCTATTGTGGACTAGTTCATTTTTAAAAGAACACTGGCTTGGAAATCATGAGATTGATTTCACAACTCACTAAAGCACTGTGTCACTCAGTTTGGAAAATATTTCTCTTTAGAGAGATTACAGGTATATATTTCTGAGCACCTGTATGTTTTTACATTTGTTTGGCTTCTCTGACCTTTGATATTTCCTGAGTGTTGTACCAGTAAATATTAGTGGCTAGGGGTCAAATTGTGGATCAGGTTGATCCATATTTACAAGTTGACAGATATGTTACTCCATTGCTTTAAAACTAACACAGAATTAGAGAATTTAGAAAATTCTTACATTCCGTAATTTAAGACCCAGAAAAAAAGATTCATACTTTGCATTAGATAGCTAAAAAGGTACCATAAAAACAAACGATATCCACATATATATTGTATATAGTGCTTCTCCTGTGCCAGTCACTATCCTAAGTTTTTCTCCCCTCCCCCAAAACTGTAGGAATTCAGTTTACAGGTGAAAAAACTGAGGCACAGGAATGTCACATGACTTGCCCTCGCTGTGTTGCCCAGGCTGGTCTTGAATTCCTGGACTCAAGCAATCCTCTTTCTTCATCCTCTCAAAGTGCTGGGACTACAGGCATAAGCCACTGTGCCCAGTCAGGAAATTCAGTCTTCTAAACATTCATTATTGAAATCATACTTCCATAAACATTTTCTTAGATAAACTTTGGCATCTCTAACTTCTAAGTAGCAAAGTCATGGAAACAGTCACAAAGCAAATAACTATTCTCTTTTAAAAATAATAAATTCTTATCTCTGGTGACAAGAAAAGTATACAGCCCATTTTTTAAAGTATTAATTTTACATTCTAGTTTTTTTTTAATGTTTACCATATATTTCTCTTTCTACGTATGTATGAGAGTGAATAAAATAAAGGCATCTACAGATTTTTACATGTTCAGTGAGATCAGCAGGATTTCACTTGACAGCACTCTTATACCATACTCACTTCTTGGCTTTTCCTGATATCTAACATTTTTAAAACAAGTACTCCCTTTTCATACGATTCTTCCTTTTTCAAGAACTATTTTTGAACTTCATATTTGATTCGCAATAATTTTCACACATTATTTTACCATTAACCTTAACTCTCTGTTCAAATGATTTCTTCATTTTCAAAGTATTTTATTTGAACTGCTTTTTTTTGTTCAACTACTGAGTATTTAATTTGTCTGTTTTGTAGAAAGGGTATGTAGATAATTCCATGTTTTGTAAAAGTTGTCTCTAAAAATCTACGAAGTGCAAGTATGATGCTATTACAGGGCTGAGAGACACAGAAACAAAAACAATAAAAAAATTTTTTTAAAGTATTATTTGATCTCTAAAGAATTTATCTATTTTGGGAGATAAAATCCAAACATAAGCAATGACAACAATTATTTTGTGCTTAAATCAACGTCCAAGACAATAATTGACCCAGGATTTCAAGGCAGGGTGTCTTGAAATCACTGAGAGAGTATAGCAAAGAGGGTGTCCTCTCTGTTCAGATGAACCTGAATAATTTGCTCAGTAGGTTTCTGCTGCTCATTTATAAACTGCACATCTTCTGTAGTCCTGGAAAATGTCTGAGAGGGGAACTAACATCAAGGCCACCATTTAATTAGGAAGTTCTGGAAGTACCTGACCTGGAAGAAAGATTAACATAGCTGAAAATCACCCGTAGGGGAAACATCTAGGTAATCTTATTTCTGTTCCACCTGACATTTCAACCTCTCTTTTCAGCTCTAAGTATATAAGCACTTATATGTAAGTAAAGAAATGTACCCACATCATGTTGTTTTTTAAATCTATGCTTAACATGTATAATGCTAACAACACAGACTGATGTCCAAAACATTTCTATGAACAGCTCATTACTGGATGACTGAAATAATTTTTCCAAGACACTTGGAGGCTAGTGAGTCAGTTTTCAAAAGCAAGGAGAGAAAAACATTAGAATTTAGGATGATGTTTCTGTTGCATTGTAATCCAGAATACAGAATAGTCAGAAAAAAGCAGAAAGTCTTTCTTCTTAAATTTTCTGAAAACCAAGGTGTGAATTAAGATGGTACATGCCTACTTCCCTTTGCCTTTAGCCTTTTTTCCTGCATGGAACATAGATATGACCCCTAGACATGCTGCAGATGACCATGAGGTTGAAAGCTATATGGAAGATAGCTAACACAGGATGATAGAAGAGACCTGCATACTTGGGCAGCCTAGACAGCTCCTGACAGCCCCCAACAAACCACCCTAGCCTTCTTGCCAATCGAGAAAAACAAATCCCTTTCTGGCTAATCCACTGAAGTGAATTTCTGTAAAATGTGGCCCAATGTATCCATAATTGATATATAAATATTAGTTTAGTGGGTGGCACCTCTCCATGAGCATGTCGACTTCATAAGGCTAAAATTTTTATCTGTCATGTGCAATTGTCCCATTACAGTGCCTGGTACATGGGAACAGCTCAACTGTGCATACCCATTGAAGAAATAGATGCATGGCCAATCAAATTTCCAGGTATATC